TGCATCCATTCTGGTTCTATATTTATTCAAATAAAATGCAAATCAGTGGGAAAAAATAATAACATGCCTTATAATTATGACAAAAATACTTCTTTTCTTTAATTTTTTTCTATCCTCTTATAAATAGGACAGGATGATATAAAATTAAAATAAGACAAATATATCTACACCCACGATTGTTTCTTGTAAGAACCTAGGGCATTCAATCTCTATAACTAAGGTATCCATAGAATATATGTTTAAAAAACATATGATTCCAACGGCAAATATGAAATCAACCAATTAATTGCTTCATGAGAAAGTAGGCACCTGAGCACTACTACTTAAGATTGTGACATGAAATTGAGGGGAAAATATATATTATTATTGTTGGGATGTCTCTTTTTGAGTGGTTGTCTGACCCATTTGAAACACAAAAGAATGATTATCAGAGAATTTTTAATGAATGAATGTGGCACACACTGTGCGTGCGGACATCTGCATTGACCACAGGGACATATGGTGGGCGACATTAAATCAGATATGCGTCAAGTTCACATTAATTATTATTTTAATTAATCAACTTGATTAGCATTAGTAGCTTTCATAATAATTTATATTTGTAATTGATTACACTTCAGACTACAACCTGATTAAAATTCATCCTTTTCAATTACAGATTGAGGGGTTGAACACACAAGAATTATGCCACATGTCCAACCTAATGTATATTCAAAAGAATTATTATTTACTGTAGCACTTTGAATTTTAAGTAATTTTATCCAGTAATGATTATGATTACTACCCCAACATTGATTCCTAGCGACTTTAAGAGACCTTTCTAAAAAGGAATGATCACTAAATAGGATTTTAGTGATTGAATTGTTGAAGCTAATAAGAGCTAATTTGGTCAATGATAATCTTCAACTAGATTGAATTACATATTCTCGTGGGAGTCTCCTGTCCTAATAATAAGTATTTCCTTTTTATCTCTCTTAAATTTAAGGTTGCGAGTTTGATTATTCCTCCATAAGTACGAAGTATGATGAGTGTTTAAATTTCTTTCATCGAATGAATGAATGATGATTAAAAAAAAATGAATTACATATTCTCACGATATCTGTATAGCTTGTAAACCACAAAAAATAAAGAAAAAATGGCAAATAAAGACCCTCAATACATGAAATTGCGATTTGGGACCCTGAATTTGGAAAATGGCTTCAAAGGACCCAGTCCCAAATTGCAAATATGAAATGATGGTAAAATGTCCAAAATGTCCACCTGTTTTTTTTCTCTTTCTTCCTCTCCAGATCTTCTTCCCTTTCCTTCTTTTCCTCTCTCTCTTCGTCCTTCTCTTTCCTTTGGTTCTATCATAATTATTTAACACACCACATGTGTTCCAAGCTTGTGATTGGGAACAAGTATGATGATTGTATTTCGGTGGCTAAATCAACTAAGGTGTGGGATGTGAGGAACAAACAATCTCTAATTATAGTGCTAAATGAATAAAGTTCTTGCCTTATATGTGGAATTTAATGGTTTCTTGTTCATATGATATGATAGTTTGCATGTGGGATTTCATGGTTAAGGATGCACTTGTGAGTAGATATGATCATTATAGTGCATTTGCTAATGGTGTTGATATGAGCATGCTTCTTGAGGGGCTTATGACAGTTCTGATGTTATAGTTTTATACATTGGGAGGAAATGAGAGGTGAAATTAATGATGAAAGATGTTAATGGCAAATGACAGGTTTCCATTAGGTTTTCATACTTTTTCTGTTAAAATGACTGAATTTCCACATTTATTTACAAAACGACAAGTTCGTAATAGAAAATGAGTTAAAATGACAAGTTCCTATAAGATTTTTATACATTTTCATACATTTTCTGTTGGAATTACAATTTGCACATTTCTGACGGCAACCACTTCTGATAAACACAAAATGACAAGTTCACAGTAGTGAATGATAAGTTAAGTATGGCAAATGACAAGTTCCCATAATGCTTTCATACTTTTTCTGCTGGAATCACAATTTGCACATTTCTGATAGCAACCACTTCTGATAAATAGTAAATGACAAGTTTACTATGGCCAATGACAAGTTAAGTATGGCCAATGATAAGTTCCATCAGGTTTTCATACATTTTCATACTTTTTTTGTTGGAATTACAATTTGCACATTTCTGACAGTAAACACTTCTGATAAACACGAAATGACGAGTTCACTATGGCCAATGACAAGTTCCCATAAGCTTTTCATATATTTTCATACTTTTTCTGCTGAGATTACCATTTGCACATTTCTGATAGCAACCACTTCTAATAAACAATAAATGACAAGTTCACAATAGCGAATGACAAGTTAAGTATGTAAAATGACAAGTTTCGACAACATTTTCATACAATTGTAAATTTCTCTACTGAAATAACAATGTGCAAATTTCTTACAGCAACCACTTCTGATAAACAGTAAATGACAAGTCCATAATAGCGAATGACAAGTTAAGTATGTAAAATGACAAGTTCCCATAACGTTTTCATACAATTGTAAATTTCTCTACTGAAATAACAATGTGCAGATTTCTGACAGTAACTATTTCTGATAAATAGTAAATGACAAGTTCATTATGGCGAATGACAAGTATAGTATGTAAAATGATAAGTTTCATAACATTTTCATACAATTGTAAATTTCTCTGCTGAAATAACAATGTGCAAATTTTTGGCAGTAACCATATCTGATAAACAGTAAATGACAAGTTCATAATAGCGAATGACAAGTTAAGTATGTAAAATAAGAAGTTCCCATAACATTTTCATACCATTGTAAATTTCTCTGCTAAAATAATAATGTGCAGATTTCTAACAGTAACCACTCTGATTAACATCTTTCATCATCAACTTCACATCTCATTTTCTCCTAATGTATAAAACTATAGCATCAGAACTATCATAAGCCCCTCAAGAAGCATGCTCATATCAACACCAGCGGCAAATGCACTACGATGATCATATCTACTCACAAGTGCATCCTCAACCATGAAATCCCACAAGCTAATTGTCGTATCATATAAACAAAAAACCATCAAATTCCACGTATAAGGCAAGAACTTTATTCATTTAGCACTGTATTTAGAGCTCGTTTGTTCCTTACATCCCACACCTTAATCGATTTGGCCACTGAAATGCAATCATCATACTTGTTCTCAATCACAAGCTTGCAACACATGTGGGTGTTAAATAATTATGATAGAACTAGAGGAAAGAGAAGGACGAAGAGAGAGAGGAAAAGAAGAAGGAAAGGGAAGAAGATATGGAGAGGAAGAAAGAGAGAAAAAACAGAAGGGCATTTTAGATATTTCACTATCATTTCATATTTGCAATCTGGGAATAGTCCTCTGAAACCATTTTCCAAATTCAGGGTCTCAAATCGCAATTTCACATATTTATGGTCTTTATTTGCTATTTTTTCAAAAATAAATAACGATAAGTGAAATTACCTTCTATGTACAGCATAAATCATTACTTATTTGAACAATTGAAGTTTATGCGCATATTTGAATCAAAGAAATAAATAAAGCTCTTTGCTGCGATACTGATCATTCATTGGCAGATATATATATATATATAGTTATTAATTAATGTGAAAGCTTAAGATAGTGGAATAGAATGATATCTAATTTCTAAGGTGGTGTGAGTGTGTGACTCAAAAAAGTTCTAGAAGCTAATAGTTAGCATTCATCAATAGTCAACAAAAGACCAAGATACATAGAGATTAGAAGGTGCTTCTTGGATTGTAATTGTATAGATTTAATCAGAATAATTTAAATACAAGTTTTTATATGCGGTTTTTACTTCAAACGTTTATTTATTGGATGAAAATAAAAAATATTTTTTTATGTTGCACGAGTTCTTTCAAATAAAAAAAAACAAATAAAAAGTAACCTTGCACAACTTAAAGGAAGAAGCAATACAAACCCAGGCGGAGAATGATCTCATTTTTTACTATATAAATTGTGTAATTCTCTAAAGAAGTTTCAACAACCCAAAGCAACAATGATTGTTATACATATCCACAAAGCCATCGAAATTGACCTACTTCTTCTCTTCATGTCTCAACCCTATCAACTATTGTTCCTATAGTGAATTTTCTCTAAATTTTTTCTTCCAATTTAATTTATAATATGTAGAGTATTTAATTTTTTTCTATTTTGCCCTTAATTGGTTTATAATTAAATATCATGAATAGTTAAAATCTTTTTCACTTCTTTAATGAGCTAACTTTCATTATTTAACTTAACTATTCTTCTTAGTTTATGGACAGGTTAAACTAGACTACTCGTATTAAAAACTGGAGAAATATATTTTTGATGAAATGTATGACAAGTGCCACTCGTTCTATAAATCATAAACCCTCCTTGGTTTAACATCTTTTTCCTCCGCAAACCACTATTCTTGCCCAGTTGCAGAGGAAATAATAATAAAGTAATATTTTCAACTTTCATATATTTTTTTAAACTTGCAGAACTTCATTCTAAGTAAGAACGTAGACTTTATTATTGGCATCAAAATCCTGTATATCGAGTTACACGTCTTTGGCTCGAAATCCTCCAATTTTTTTTTCCTTTGTGATTTAGAAAAAGTGGACCCAGTCAGAAGTGTACCTGCATAATTTTAGGTATACCATTTTCTTTGCATCATGTGTTATGAAAAAAAATACTACCTCTACTCCTTAATATGAGAGTTAGGACATAAAATTTAGTTATAAATATAAGACTTCAATATATTTTATCTCTCATATTTATTTTTTTTCAAAGTGATATATAGTTAGTAAGGATATTTTAAGAAAGATAATATCTTTTTACTACAAGTAACTATCTTAATTAATTTTTTTAATCCATTTAAATTACTCAGCTTGTCACGTTGAAATCATTATATTAGGCTCCTACTGTCCTGCACGCTGCCTTTGTTTTTTTTTTTTGGGCCTATTATGTTACAAAACCAATCCAAACAATTTTTCCCCTTATAGACACGGCGTAAGGTCCAATCAATAAATACAACGCATAGCATAACGAGCTGACCCAGTGACCCACCTGAGTCAAAGGAATTCGTACGCGTCGACTCAGTGCAAAAGTCACGCGGCAAGAATCCAGGTCCAACACATGATTTGTGGACGCAATCTGCTGCACAGAAACAGGATAGCCGGACATAGCCCATCGCTTCCACGCCCTCCAACAATGGAGGAACGTCAAAATCTGCTTCAAGCTTACCCTCACTACTGGGGCTTCACTCCCGAGCAAGACTTCTACGCTCAACAGGGAATCTCATCTTCTTCATCGTCCTTCACCACTCCCAGAGGCCTCTCCCTCTTCACGCGTTCATGGCTTCCCCTCACCCCTCCACGCGCCGTCGTCTTCATGGTCCACGGTTACGGCAACGACATCAGCTGGACTTTCCAAGCCACCCCAATCTTCCTCGCTCAGATGGGTTTCGCCTGTTTCGCTCTCGACCTCCAAGGCCATGGCCGATCTCAAGGCCTCAAGGCCTTCGTTCCTAACGTCGATCTCGTTGTCCAGGACTGCCTCTCCTTCTTCGGATCCGTCAAGCAAGACCCGAACTTTCAGGGCCTGCCCCGTTTCCTCTACGGCGAGTCCATGGGCGGCGCGATCTGCCTCCTCATCCATTTGGCCGATCCAAAAGGGTTCGACGGAGCCATACTCGTCGCACCCATGTGCAAAATCTCCGACGAGGTCAGACCCAGATGGCCAATTCCTCAGATTCTTACTTTTCTTGCGAGATTTTTCCCCACTTTGCCTATTGTTCCCGCCCCTGATCTCTTGTACAAGTCCGTGAAAGTAGATCACAAGAAAGTCATCGCAGGCATGAATCCGATGAGGTATAGGGGAAAACCCAGATTAGGGACCGTGGTGGAGCTTTTGAGGGTCACTGATTATTTGAGCCAAAGGTTGTATGATGTGAACATTCCATTTATTGTGTTACATGGGAGCGCAGATATTGTAACAGACCCAAACGTGAGTCGAGAATTGTTCGAAGTGGCAAGGAGTGAAGATAAGAGAATAGAGGTGTACGAAGGGATGATGCATTCTCTACTGTTCGGGGAGACTGATGAGAATGTAGAAATTGTTCGCAATGACATCGTCTCGTGGCTGAATGATCGATGCGACAGGACAATAACAATTGATTAAAAAGATGGGTTTGTTTGATCGATTGATCATATTGTTTTTATTTTGACTGATTATTGTTTCTTTGATCTCTCCAGCACCAAATTTGGTGCCTGTGGTGAAATTATTATCCGATGGCATATACATATTGGAACCCCACTTTGAATTAAGCTTTTGCAATGAGAATCGTTATGGCGGATTATGTTTCTTCAATTTGGGGGGGGGGGGGGATGAGGGGATGTGTTCTGAGAGTTTGCAGGGCGATGGAGAAGGAGAATCATACGATACTTTCGTTTCGGGTTCGCAGGTTAACGAATGACGAGGTCTATTGGTGGCAGGGGAATGTAAAGATCGGATTCGATGCACTGAATTTCGGTTAAATAGATAAATAAATAATCGATCCACTGAAGTGGACAAATATTATTGGACTAACGCAGGAAATGCCTGACAGTGGGCCTCTCAGCTCTGGCTTTGTCCTCGTATTATATGGAGCGCAATGTTTCGCAAAAGTTGCAACCATTCCGAGAAAGAAGATGTTTGGTCCAAAAATCTAGTAAAGAATTTTACATGGAGAAAAATAACCCGAACAAAGAGACAAGTACCCATGCTAACAGTACCTCTCGAATATAATTATTTTTAATAGAAAAATACCTGTACGGGAAAATACAATGATTGGTTCTCATAATTTACCTTCATTTTGCTTTTGGTCCCTGAAGTTTTAAACCAGAGCTTTTGGTCCCTCAAGTTTGTTTCGTTTAAAACCGTTAGTCCCTCTAATTTAAAAAGGATTTGGTGTTTGTGTTACGGTGTTAATTATGCTAACGTGTCTTTTGACATTGTTTAATTCGCTGACATGGCATGTTGACTAGGCAACAAGACTTAGTGATTAGTTTGCCAACTTGGATTTGTGATTTTAAAAAACAAGAAAAAACAAAACAATACCCACACTTGAAACAAAACGCACATGCATGATTGAGTGGGAAAAAAAAAAAAAACAAAGACGGTTAAAGGCTGAAGGAAAAAAGAAGAAAACACTAGGTCAAGTTGGACCCACAACTGGAGAAGCCTTACGTGGCCGTCACTGATGCAGTTGATGCCGACGACCGTGGGAGAAGGTCAATGAAGGTCACAGGAGCATTGTCGTCTGCATTTCATTTTGTTGAAAGGTAAGGATTCTTCTTGTTAGTTTGTTCGAAAAGAGCATGAGCAATGGTCTGTTGTGGTGTGCTCTTTGAATGCTTTGTTTTTATTATTATTGGTTCTATAATCAATAGAGCTTCGATGCTATGTTTTTTTGTGGTTTGTTCTTTGATGATTAGTTTTTCTTATTAGTTTTATATTATAGATGGCATATAGAAAGTAAAGAGATGATTGATTTTTGTGGTTCTTCCATATCTTGTACAATGATAAAATATGCTTTGTTTTAGTAAATGACAATAGCAAAATTCATGATTGGATTCTTTGGTTATCGTATATGCTTTGTCTTTTTTTTTAAAAAAATAATCATGGGTTTGCTATGCGTACATGTTCTGGACTGAAATTACATGTTAGTGACAAATTTAATCTATAGACTTTGGGTTTTCATTGAGTCACTATCATTCTTTTCTATTTAATAAATATTTTGGACTGAAATCGTGGGTGATGCTATTTTGAAATTTGTGACAATGGCTTGCCTTACCTGGAATCTTCTTGCTTTCTACACTCAAGTGATCATCATATGAAAAAAAAAAAAAAACAGTAAGCAATCTCTTGATAAAATATTAATATTTGTTGTCTCATCATATTATTTTTTATGTATTACTGTGGAGAAGAATATTGTTTACCCCGATTGTTCACTCCTGTATGTCAAACAATACAAAATAACATAAAATTCTTTACCCCAGTTGCTCACTCAAATTATTACATGAAGATGTAATCCACAAACCTTATAATTTGGGCACTTCACAAACCTCCTACCATAATTTTGCTTTGCCCATGAAGTCAAAATTATAACCTCATCTCCACATTTACATCGTTCACCACCCCTCTGGGCTACCATTCTACCCATGGTGTTCGATGAGGAACTTCTAGTAGAAGCCATGAAATTTCACTGCACATAAAATAAAATTATATACAAGGTTGAAGATAGAGAAGAAGATGAGAGTGCAGACAAAATCAAAGGCTGTAGATTGGGAGAAAATGAAAACGATTTACCTTTCAAATAAAGTCTCGAATGCTCTTTAACCTTCATCGGACCCCCTTTGCATTCACCGCATATTCTTTGACCTTTGCTGAATCTTCTCTGCCTTCTCTAACACTCTGCCCAGCACCGATGCCCAACTTTCCCTTCTCCTTTTTCTTCTTAACCTCAACTAAGATCTCTCCTGATGCCCCAGCCTTCCCTTTTCCTTCGTGCCCTGTGTGTGTTTTACATTCACCTCTGTTTTTTTTAATAAACAATTTTCAGGTCCAGGTCACCCACCCATATAATCACAAATTTATTTTTACAAAAAGGACTTCCAAGTCATAAGTCCATATAGCATGCCTCGTCAGCAAATTAAACGATGTTAAAAGACACGTCAGCATAATTAACACCGTTAACACAAACACCAAGTCCTTTTTAAACTAGAGGGACTAACAGTTTTAAATAGAAAAAACTTCAAGGACCAAAAACTCCGGTTTAAAATTTCAGGGACTAAAAGCAAAATAGAGATAAATTATGAAGACTAATCGTTGTATTAACCCAATAAAAAAATATTTAGAAGAAATTGTCTTGAGGAAAAAAGCATGTAGATATTTGGGCGATAGGATATACATTTATATAATTCATTAAACTAATAATTTAACTCCTCCATTTTTCACTTCAATTTGCTCCATAGGCGAGTTTGTTCCACTAGAATTTTAATAATCTCTTCTTTTCGATTTAATTTTCTAACATTACTTTGTATTTTTCATAACTTATTTACAAAATATGATAATTTTCATAAATACCATATCACATGATAATTTCCTCAAGTATTAATTTACTAATCCATTATTTATTTTAAAAAAACACCACGACAGATTTGTCATCCAAAAACATGCATAATTTCAATAAATTGTTTCTTCAAGTATTTATGAGCCCCAAAAATAAAATCCTAAAAATTCACATTCTGAAACTGCTAGATATATATGACGCTAAATTTTTCTATATAAATAATATGATATGATATGATATTGATTGATGACAGATTGTGAGGCGGATACATGGGCCACACCCACCAGGCAAGGGTTTGAAATTTAAACATACGGCTCAATAAAAACACAAACAAACAAACAGAAGAGCGAGTAGACTAATCATTATGAGAAAGACTAAACCTTCTATTATTTACAAGAAAAATCTGAGAATCTATCTGCCTTCCTGTCTGCAACTGCTCCTAGTCCCCATCCTATACAAATGTATGAGACTAAACCAAAATTTCCAGGTAAAAGAATGAATCATCTCAACCAAAATATAATGGCAATACATTTAATCTTTTCATGTCAAACGTCACCAGAACCCCCGTGGTTACTGTCAGTATTGGTTAGCAAATGTCCTGTTTGTTGTTTCCTGACTTCTGCAGCCACCAACAGCCAACCCCCTTTTTGGAGAGAAAATCCAAAAACAAATTTGTATCTGTACGAATGTATGTGCCTAATCACATCATGAACAAGTATTTTAAATCATCCACTGTGAGGCGACTTTGACGACCGCCAGTTTCATCTTCTCCAAACGCAGATGCAACCATCTTCCGCTTCTTTTGCTGCAAGGTACATTAAATAGTTTTTTTCCGCATGAGCAACGAGCAAAATCCACACGTCTGAAACAGTAGACTAGATAACACTGGTGTATCAACTAAAGTGCTGACTACAATAACATAGAACTCATATTCCTGCACCACCACTTTCTTCTAATTACATAAAACCAGAACAATCAACTTGCAGTGCAAGAGGCGTCTGAATTTTCCTTTTATGTTTATTAAAATAAGTTAAAAAAAAAGTCAGAACAAAGTGGGGGAACTACAGAACCCAAACCGAATAGTAAACAATGATAAAAGAATCTGCTCTTAAAACGTGTATTGATGATTGATGGTTTAAGAAATTCAAAAATTCTTGCAATACCTGTAGAGCTAAAATCCGATCTTCAACTGTATCTCTCACAGTCAACCGTAAAACAGTCACAGGGCGAGTCTGCCCAATTCGATGCGCTCTGTCAATTGCTTGATCTTCTGTTGTTGGATTCCACCATAGATCAAGCAAAAGTACATGGCAGGCAGCTACCATGTTGAGGCCGAGGCTTGCAGCTTTCAAAGACATAATCATAACTGTTACCTGCCAGATAAAGTGCCCAAGATAAATAAGACATGGGAGATCTATAACTTAAAATCATGCAATCAAGGGACCTAAGATTTCACAAACCTCTGGGAGAGTATTGAAATCTTTAACGGCTTTATCCCTAGCAACAACCGACATTGTGCCATCAAGCCTCCTATACTGAATTGAAGAATTCTTAAGACATGCTTCAAGCAAATCCAACATCCTTGTCCACTGAGAAAATACAATAGCTTTCTCTCTAACAATTGAATCATTGGAGCTTCCATCCGACATATTTTGACTCTCAGGAAAATCCTTGAAAGATTTCACCTCGTTGGCGTCAGAGGAATTCCCATGGCTGTCACTATGTTCATCAGAATTAGTCTGCATTGAAATACTTTTTGATGCATTAACCTGTGGCTTACACAATGAGTTCAACACCTCAAGAGCAGCCTTAATTTTTGAAGAATCAATTGGCTGACTCTGAGAACAAGGCTCATAACCCTCCACTTCAGAACCAGAGCAATCAACCAAACTATTACTAGCCTGGTCAGAAAGAGAGCAGTTCAATGCGGCTCTGGAGAACACCGAAGACATACTCAATTGAGCTTTGCAATTTGTAGTAGGGCACTGGTTGTCATCACCAGTGAGATGTTCAGAAATGCACTGGTTACAAAAGACATGACCACAAGATGAAACAACTGCCTCTTCAGGAGGATCCTGTTGAGCAAGAAATGGTAAGAGAAGGGTACAAAAGCAATAGTTCTTAAGATATTTGGTCAAAAAAATAAGATGGTAATTATGATGTGACAGACTTCCATTCCTTAGAACTTGACAGCCTATCATAGCAAGGAATGATAGCATGACTCATACTTCAACCATACTCTCTGCATTTCCCTCCAAAAACAAATAATTAACAAGTAAAAACAAAAAACCCTTTCCATTTCCACTCCTACTGACTACCTTTCACCTTACATCTCTCCTCCCAGGTGCCAACTAAGAGATCACCACAAATCCAACAAACTTGCATGCAAGCAAATAAAGATCGGGGCGGAATCAGTTATATTCATCTACAAATACAACTGAAAAATCCATGTGTGATGTGTGTGAAATGGTGGTCAATACGTACATTACAGATGCCACAAATAGCCAAGGAAGCCTCCAAACAGTTGAAAAGTGATGTTCGTTTTTCCCAAGGAAGTTTCTTTGCCATCTCAACTGAAGATCTCCATAGAGAGTTAGAATTGTAGCGCTTAACAAGCAGAGGATGATCACAAGCTTGTCGAAGACGTAAAAGCATCAACAGAATGTTGACATAATTTTCCTTAACAGTTCCAGCATTAGCATATTCCTGACATGACATGCCAAAAATGCAATTTAAGATAGTTTAAAGCCAAAAAATGCAACCACTGGCATATTGTTGGGTATTAATAGCTTTTTCTTAGATTTGAAGGGAATTAAAAAAAAAATCACCAAAAAAGGGGGAAAATATGCACACATGCACACAAATAAAAGGATTAGAGAAAAAGGGGGAAAACATGCACAGATCCATGTCAATCAAAATCTGTCCCAAAAATGATCAAACCTGAAACTGTGCACGAGAATCAGCCTCCAGTCTGGAATAGAAATCACGCTCCTCTCTTGAAAAATCCACTTTTTTCAGCTGCACATACTTAGGTGGCAGTGTAATAATAGGTTCTCCATCAAGAAGTGTGCCTAGCAAATGATAACCATGATATGGTTAGAAGCATAATTCAAAGTTCAAACTAAGCCACCAATGATCATAAAATTAAATGAGTTCATGCAATATGCAGTAGCAGGGGGCTGTGGACTCTTACTATTCGCTTGAAATTGAAGAAAATTATGTTCATGCATACTACAGAATCATGTATCCCAACTCCAGAATCAACAGTCTAAGCTTTTAATTAGGCACATCGCCCAACCACTACAAAAACTAAAATAAACCTTCCTGAGCCTATGCCTAACTTATCTGCTATCAGATTTGGAGCATATAACACAAACTTCGAAAGTAAATAACATACTAAATAGAAAGGTAGATTTTACAACAGAACTGAGAGAACAGACTAAGGGAATCAATGAAAACAGTGCATTATCGCCTAGCTGTGAAGTTCTTGGATCTAACCTTTTGTCCTGCGTAACATTATTGTCTTCAAGACAGCTTGTAGCTTTCTATACCCTCTGTTTGGATTTCTGTTTATTGGAATCTTAATAGTAGAACAGAATGTATTATAGATAGCATAAGGGTCATATCTGAGAAATCTAAAATAACTATAAAGATCATCAATAGCATTCTGGATAGGAGTTCCAGACAAGCACCATCTTCGCTTTGCACGAAGACCCCAGCAGGCCCTTGCAACTTGAGTTCTGTGGTTCTTTATACTCTGGGCCTCATCCAAGACAACTCTAAACCATGCCACCTTTGCTAAAGGGCGAGCAGAAACCTCAAGCAAAGCATGGTCTAATCCCTTCTTGCCACTTCTACTAGAAGAAGGGCATTTCCTCTTCTTACTAGGTGGTAGACCAGCATGAACATCAGATTTTCCTTTCTCTTCTTCATCTTTGTCAACCAGAGGCTGCTTAGGTACCTCCATGCTGACAATTGAATAAGTTGTCAGAACAACATCATACTTGGCCAGCATATACGGATCTTTGGTTCGGTTGCTTCCATGGTACACTAGCACAGAGAGATTTGCTTTGCTGGTTACCTTATTTTGCAACTCTTCAGCCCATTGCCGCAGGACACTGGTGGGACAAACAATAAGCGTTCCTGCAGATGGCCTTCCCTTTGTTTGCATCAACAAATTCTTGTTTTCGATTGGACTTACACTGGGCCTGTCTTCCTTCACTCCACCACCCTCGGCAAGGACATCATCATCGACATCCAAATTCAGAGTTTCTAATTCACCCTTTTGTGGATTTTGGCAAGCTATAAGTGCTGGAGGTCTTTCCTTCAGTATCAAAGCAATAGTCGACACCGTTTTTCCAAGTCCCTAAAAGAATAGAATTTTTAGGAAAACCAAAAAGAAGAAGAAATTACAAACAGAGCTCTTACCTGATCATCTGCAAGGATTCCCCCTGAGCAGTATAAACTTGATGTTTCCTTTTGAACCATCCATGACAAAGCAATTCTCTGATCAGAACAAGTAGATAACAACTACAATTAGACATAAAACACATGGGTATACAAATTAAACAAGTCACTGAAACATCATAAAAGATTAGGCCCATCAGACTAATAAACTGAAACTCTGTAGTCACACAACTAAAAAAATATCACTTTGAAAAACAAATGACTGAGATTTTAATTTGTTGAGAACAATATTTAACCCCAGGAACAAAAATTATCTTAGTTTCTGATACATATGTATGGCTAACGGTATCGTAGAAAGTGTAGAAATATTAGGGAAGGAGAGGAGAAAGACTAGGAAGATAGAGTCAGAGGAGAAGAAAGAAAGAGAGAGGGAGATACTGAACTTTATACTTCATCAAAGAAAACTACAACAACTGAACAATTAGATAGTCCCCCTAATATACATATAAGAAGAACACATATATGTCCTCTTGATTAACAACTAACTACCTAGGATCCTAACTAACCTAACTACCCGTGGCTCATAGAATTAGCATACCACATAATAATATTTATGTTATATATTCCGTGGCTCATAGGATTAGTGCGCCACCCCTTAACCCTTCAACTGGCACATTTAATATTTATGATTTACATATCATGTATATATGGATTATATTTTCATTCAATAAAAAATATATGAAATATTAGAAATAGAAATCATAACCCATAGGAGTGAAAGATGACAACTTTGATACCTCCCATCTTTACAACAAGGGAGTGATCAAACTCACATTAGCTGAGTCAAAAAATATTGACAGTATTATAGACATGATTCAATCATTTAGTACATAACATTATTGGTTAGATCAGATCCAGACATCAAGACTCTGGTCCAACTTCGTTTCAGTATTGAAGTTGCTGCAGAACAAGCATTAAAAAGAATATTCATGAAGAGCCACATCAAAAAGAGGGAAAAAGAACTTTCAAAGCAACCTGATGTCTTAATAGAGGAACAGCCATCAATCCATCTGGAGGTATAACTTCTGACTTTGGCTGAGATAAATCCTGCAGCGGACATCAGAATTTATTCAATCGGTTTCAATTGCAGGCAACAGAGTACGTCTTTTTCTAGTTGGGGTCAACATACAAGTCTGTTAAACTTGACATTAAAGGAAGCATGGAAGTCTTCACACAAGGCCACATGAACAAACAAGTGTAATGCTTTGGACAAGACATGTCAAATGCTTATGAGCTCCTAATGCTATATCCACACAATGCACAAGGGACTCAAAGGCGTACAGAATTATGAATGGAAGATAGCAAGTGGTCAAGCATATATAAAGAAATTGAGCTTGCCACTCAGTCATGGAATCATATAATGTTAGTTCAGGTTCTGATATATGTGATCAAGGTAACCTTAGTTCAAACTTATAAATTCATGAGATTCCCACCAAGCTCAAACGTTGTGTTTCTACTGAAATGGAGACAGCTTTTAAACTTCACCAATCATGAAGCATTCAAAAGAAACAAACGATTACAAGCACAAATGTAAAACTGAACTTGTACAATAAAATACAATGATAACATGATAAAGGAGACCCAATAAAAATTGTAAACATTAGCATTTTAAAAACTGCTTGCAATTTGCACAGAAATCTTCAAAGTAGCAAGATTTTTTTCTTATGGAGAAAAGCAACCATAAGATCATTATCTAACAAGGTAAACTTAATATTGATGTGTCAATAACCTAAAGCATGGTATAAATTGCAATGCGTCTCCATTGCTTCATCTCTTTAAAAAAAAAAAATTAATATCATAAACACAACAATTTGAAGTCATGATTACCACATATTAATATTAATCCTAAGAAGTTTTACCACATATTAATATTAATCTTAAGAAGTTATGTGCACTGCACAAAGAGTTATGCTAATCCTGAACGTAAAAATGGTTACCTGTAGTGCAGCTCGTAATACATATTGCTCATCAAAGGCCTTCGACCTTGTGCTTCGTGACATGCAAGGTTGTGAATCACCATATGGAGAGTACTGTGATATCTTATGAGAATTCCAATGGTCTGTCGACCGATTCACTGGTGCAGGATGACTAATGCTTTCAATCACACAGACATCAGAGTCATCATCCTCAACATGGGATTTCTCTAAAAAATTACTGTGAACCAACTCAGCGCCAGCTTTTGAAATGTGAGAATCAAAATTCCTACACTGAATCATTTTTTCCTCCCCTTCATTCTTAACATAACCAAACTGCTCCTCAGTGCCAATTGATGCCTGGGTATAGGGCAAAGATTTGTTTAAGGCTTGTCTATTCAAATTAGCTGTGTCTCTTAAAAATTTACAACCAGTACCATCAATCATTCCTTGATAATGATGTATGTTGGATAATACATCAGCGTCTTTAGCCTCGCACTCTAACAAATTAAGACCATAATTTCCCATGGAAGGAAAAGCACTATTTAACTGATTCATCTCTAGGCCTCCTTTTAATTGATTCATCTCTTGGCCTCCATTAAACTCAGAGTAATTTTCAAAAAGAGAGTTCTGGTAAGGTGTAATCGGTTGATCTCTTTCACCTTTGACACGAGCTACTTGCTCTTCACATGGATAGTATGAAACATTACCAGGAAAAAATGAAGAAAATTCACTATCTGCTGATAAGAATTGATTATCTTGAAAAGAAATCCCACCAGTAGAACTGGAATGCATGTTACTACTCACACGTGAGGCATCAGCCACATATTCCATGTTTTCACCCTTCACATTATCAAGTATTTCTTGATTTGGCCAAAACTGAGAGCCAGAGACATTAGGCAAATAAGAAGCAAGTGACAAGTCAGAAGGTAGAAGTCTATCATCGGTACCCTTATAACCATGCAAGGATGAAAAGTAGTCACGAGAATCACCAAGAGCATTGAAGCCTCGGCAAATAGTAGAATTGGTTGATGTTCCAATATGTGAGCCTCCATTAGCATCCATGAATGACATTTCAAAAGACGTACACGAGTCAGATTCCGGCTGCCCAGAAACTCCTTCACACATATCTTCATCAAAAGCTCCATATTGTGCAAAACTTACGTCACTATTCTCAATCATAGGGCTGTAAGAAGCATCTGCAAGTAGAAAATAAAATCAGACGGGACCCCATTTTAAATCAACAATGGTCAAAATTCAAAACCCCAAACCACATTGAAAACCACACATACATTCAGACTTAACGTCCTCTCCCACATGCTTGAGTTGGCTTTCCTTTTTTTCCTTCCAGAGAGGATTCAAGTTCAAATTATCCCCACAAACCGATGTATTGTTGAAATGTGGCTCGGGAGCACTAGGTTCCAAAGATTGGGCTGGCACCTCACATCCTGAAGTTCCTTCCCTTTCTGTGTAGCAAATCTCGTTACTTCCATCCAGAGGATCCAACTGCTGAAAACCATCAGGGACAGCATGAGAGGAGGAGCAAGTCTGTGAAGGAGGTCCTTGATTTTCATGATCACAGCAAAGCATGGAATTTCCTGAAAAGTCGGATAATACAAATGAGGTCTCGACCATAGATTATGCATGAAAGCTAGGCGGAGAAGAGCATAGGACTGAACCCAAAATATAAAATTCAGAATGCAGAACAGAAGAGATAACTTCTTCCAACACCTGGGACCCCATTGTAGAGGCCTAACAAATAAGACAGAAGCAATCCAATGTGAATAAAAGCAATCATACATTAAATTCAGGAGACGGCCTAACCAAAGATATCGACTTCTATTGAATGACCAATAAATTTGAAGAGCAATATAAAAGCAGAAAGGGCCAAAAAGACATTAAAGTCCACATACCGCTTTGAAGCTGAAAATTATCGTGGATGCTGGATTCGCCAGGTGAGACATTTTTTAATGAAAAACCCTCCAGACTACTCTGCATTGTGATGTGCATAAAATTATTACGGAAAATATTAGCACTGAGAAATCTTATTTCATACAAGGAACATTAAGCAATCTAAGCTATGATTGCCCATTCCAAAGCAACTCAGACCACAAGAAATTAAAGAATGAAGAATTACAATAGATGGTAGGTAGGGACAGAGCAATCGAACTCAGGAGTCTAATCTTAGCGCATAGAAGTACAACAAAATCAGTAGGCATTTACCAAGGAGTTTAACTTGTAGCACAGAAACAGGCCAGTGGTTATTTTGGATTAAAAGAAACTTATCTCATCAAAATAACAGCATCAAAATTTTGTTTAATGTCAAAGGCAGTGCGAGGTAAACACGTTATTCCGTCCCCACTCCACAGGAAGTCACAAGTCATAACTAATTAAGTGGTATTTCTTTGACAACCACCATTACATTTATTCTAATTTTAGTTCAATTTGTTATACTACTTAAGTTTAACACTATATCAGAAACATTACTCCTTTCTTTCTTATTAGTTTCCAAAGATGTATTATTTATGATAGAAAATCCTTGTTTTTTACAGGAGGACTTGCGTTAGTGAAGTTGATTTACTTCAAAAAGGGAAGATTCTGGCGATAATCTAAGTTCTACTCAGTGCCAAAAATTACAAAGGAATCGTGCATAATAGTCACACGACTTTACGATAAATATCAGCAAGAATAATCAAGCATTAAATTCCCAGGCAGATGCGACTGCGATCTTTGAGAAACTGAAAACTAAAATTATAGGAAAACCGATGTTGCCCAGAAGAAAACGTATAAGCGAGGCATCCTGAAACCAATGAGTATATGTACAGACTGGTATGCAACACAGAATACTGAAGCCTAGTTTCGAGAGTTCTTAGGGAAGCAATCCTACATATCTACATGACACTTGCAAGGTTGAATACCACTACCAGGCTGCTGTGCAAATCCGAATTCTCAATAATCTCATCTCACAGCAATAGAATTTGGAATTCTTCGGACTTAATTACAAAGAAGGAACACCCAATCAAAGCTCCGATAACCAATAACACAATCCAGTCTGTTCCAATGAAAGTGACAAACCAATTCGAAGCCCTACCTCCGAAGGATCACAATCCTCATCAAGGACATTCAAAACGGTGTCAAGATCTATAAACAACTTATCATCAGCATCAGCATCTCCGTCAACCAGGTCCGAGTAATCGAACCCCTCGTCCGCCATCACCAACACCGGCAGGAAAAAAGAAACCTCAAATTCTGTCCGAGCAGAAACCCTAGCTAGATTTCAAACTTCAAGAGAGCAAAACAGAAACAAAAGAGCAGCCCCTAAAGTAAAGCGTGCCCGTTCCGATTCCGCCGGTCCAAAAGCAGCAGCGACAGTTCCAATCTCATTCGCATAGGGAGAAAATTCGGGGGCCAAAACGACAGAGAAACGGAAATCTCGACGCCAATTTCTTAGAAGGTTCGTGATGCGACTTTCGCCTCCCGTATTGAAGAGGTAAACCGTAAAAGCTAGAGAGGACAAAGTCGTGGCTCGTGAGGAATGTGGTGGCGTAGGTTTAAATAGGGTTTGGATTTGTAGGGAGGGGGGGCGTAGGTTAATAAATTGTGCCCCAACCTTTTTATATGATTGGCCCTTTGCAAATTGCGATCTCTGATTTTAAGTTATTTACGCGCGGGACGGAGAAAGAGAGGCCTCTACGACGTCGTTTTATCGAAATGCGGGTCCTTTTCAGCCATATCACGTTTTGTTTTTTATTATTTGCGAAGCTGACCAATGGAAGCCAAGAGGTGTCGTGACTCTTCACGCCACCCATCGGCGCCTGCTTTTATTAATCCTATCATAATCTTATTAGTTAAATTAATTAATCCATTCCTTCCTCGTTATTAGCATTAAGACATAGAAGATGAGCGTTCCTAAACTACTGTGTGAAATGATTTTTTAAACTCTAGGAAGAATTAATACTTTGTTACTTAAAATTACCCTCATCGGTAAAGAAAACCCTTTTGTCATAAAAAAAAAACTTTTACCGCATCCGATTCTTAACACAGGAGAATTAGATAAATCATTTGAAAATATTAAAAAAAATTAGTTAAATATATTATCTAGTTTATATATTTGAAACCGGAAGTACTAGTTGAGTTGCCTTCTTTTTAAATATAAAAACGGGGTATTGTTGATTATTATTGCCATTGACATCATCCCCTGCATCTAGCCAAACGGCTCTCACTCCACATTCCATTGAATATATCTATATGTATCTATATGTATCGCTATATATGCAGCTTTCCTCGTGAAGAAAATGCTAATGCTAAACCCTGAAGATAGAGAAAATTTTAAGACAGAGACAATTAAAATCTAATTTAGGTAAATTTAACTTATACAAAACTCTATTTTTTTCTATGTATAAGTATCTTTTCTATTAGAAATAATTTTATTCGAAATTCTGTCATACACTAAATATGAACATCTCTCTTCGTAAAAATTCGAATTTTTGTTCGTTAAACACATTTAACATGTTTCATAACATAATATACTAACTTTGTCCTAATTATAACTATAAACGAGATCTTATAATTAAAACTGAAGTTAGTATCTTGTTTATGATGTTAATTCCTTTCAAATTAGTTAGTAATTATAAAACTCACTGGCATTGAAAATAATTTGGATATTTTATAAAAAGCAATTAATTTTATTAATTTATGTAAATTTGTTGTTAGGCACGTGTAGTAAGGAGTGTTAGGTGGTAATAGTAGGAGTGAGAAGGATGGAAGATAAAAGGGAGGAGTTGAGATTCGATGGGAACAAAAGGAAATGGGAAACACGGGAATCACGGGGAGGTGACGTGAAGGCTAAGGAAGAAGATGGTAATAGGAAAGAGAATGGGAATTGGGGTGGAGAAAAGCACTTTACGAGGCAGAGTGGGAAACTTCGTGGTGTATTGTTTGTTGGCCTTTAGCCCTTTAAATGACTTTCTTCGTGGGACAGTGCGACTCAACTCTTTGGGAACCGTTTCATTCAGGAAAAAAAAGGAGGAAGGGAAAAAAAATTTTAATAAACTCATTTTAAAAAATTTAAAAAGTAAGGTTAAAAGTTTTTAATTAATTTTTATTGCTGTTTTATCTTATATATTATCTTCATTAAAAATTTAAAATTTCACTTTTCTTATTTTGAAATCAAACTCATTATCGAAGAAATATCAGGAGAATGGATGGGAGGGATTTTAATGAAAGAGAAAAAGTTTTAATATTACTTTGTTTGATTTAAAAATAGGAAGAAGGAATGATAAGATTTTTTTATACGGACAACTTTACTTTTTTTTTATTTAAATTGTTTTTTGTTTCAAATTGAATAAATATAATTATAATACATAATTAATAATTAATATATATCCCATAGTATATATAATTATATTATATTTATAATCTGTATGCAATTATAATTACTATTCAGCCTTTTCATTAATGAAGACAACCTCTTCTTTGGCCTGTAATTTTCTGACAGTAACAGCTCCATATCCCTCTTAGCTTCCACGATTAAATTCTCTTTTCCCATTTCATCAATTAGTTCAAAAGCTACCTCATCATTTTGATTCATCCCTGGATTAAAGGGCTGAATATTTGTTGCCTCCTTCGCGAATTGGAGCAAACAATCGTAATAGATTAGCAGCAAAGGATGCTGACCATGGCCGCCGTAGCCCTCCGCCTCTTCTTCCACAACTTCATTCCGGGGGACTGGGACGCCTCTTGCCTTTAGCAACGTCTTATCAGCGATGGCTCAGATGTGTCGCGCATGCGCAGTGAGTTTCTGGTGGCCACCATGAGATGAGGAAAGGCAAGAGGCAAGGCAGAAACAATGATGAAGAAATGGTTAAAGTTGTAATGGGTAAAATTGGTATTTTGAAAAAATAACGAGGACAATTTAGTCAGTTCAATTTTTTCCCATCTCTTTAAAAAAAAAGCCCACTTTTGTGAAAGATGATGAGGGGAGCACAAGACAAAGAATTTTACCTTCCTTCCCTTCAATTTTTCCAACCAAGCATATTTATCACATCCCCTCTCCCCTCCTTTTCTCCACTCCACTCAAAAAAACTCCAATCAAACACCATCTTAAAGGAAGTGCAGGCGATGCTAACGCGGCACTACTATTCACATGTCATGTTAGTATTAGCGCTGCTGTCTCATAATATAAGTCATTTGTGCGAAATATTTTGGTTCTACGCGTAATTTTTTTTTTGTCCTTTTTTGCCTGTCTACTCGTAAGTTACTTATAGTATATTTAGTGTTTGTTTTTCAATTTTGTTCTTATTTAGTGCTCATTAAAAAAAATAATGGAGAGATATGAGAATAATTTATAAACATAAAGAAGGGGAGAAAACTTTAATAAAAATCAAATCAAATTTTTTTATTAATTTAATATATTCCTTGGCATGCAAGAATATACCATAAGTGACTTGTATTAGGAATTCCTATATTTTTTTTATAAGTTACTCCTGAAAAATTATGTCAGCTGAAGAAAAAAAATCTATCTACCGGTAATATTTTATACATAATTTGATTAATTTCCAACGTGTTTTATAAAAACTATGAACAGTTTTAAATTTGATTAGCTCTGTTTTAAAATTTAATAATTTGTTTTTTTTTTTGTCTAATGTATACACTTCCTAAGACAAAACAATCGTGTTGAAAATTTAATGTAATAATTTATAAATAATATCCAAAAAAAATCTTTATCCTATAAAAGTGGTCCAAACATCGTTCAACTGTTACATTAAAATAGTGGGGTCATAGCGTGATTTAAATAAAAATTGAAAATTGAGCTAGATCATGGCTCATAAAATTGCAGTTTATTAAAGTTTTTATAATGTATGTATAGAGGCTTTTATGTTATACTCCTCCGGTCTTTTATAGATCCTAATTGTTGAGTTGGTTTTGGTTCTAAATATAAAATCCACTTCTCATATTTATTAGTTTTCTCTAAATTACCCCTATGGATATTCCCTCAACCATAATCAAGTAGAAGATGGAGAAGGAGTATTAAGAAAGATGATTATGGTGTTTTAGGAAAAAATATGTCATATTTTTTATAATTAACTAACTTCCTTAACTTAATCAAATTAGTTAAATGAGTCTTACATTAAAGACTGGAGGAGTACTAGTATACTCATAGAGAAAAACAAAAAAAAAGTGTAAAGGCTTTTTTGTAACTGAAAAACCATCGTGATGTAGAAGCAATTCTAAATATGCACAAAACTTTTGGTGAAAAAAAATAAAAAGCACAAAACATAAAAACATATTCAACTAAATATCCTTTTCGATATGGAAAACAGGATACTTCATCTGATATCAAGCATAAGGCATTAATCCCTATATTTCACTTTAACACGCCAATCATATTAGTTAAAACTGGTTAAGATAATTTAATTTATAACAAAACATACTTTTTTTTTTCAGGTTCCTCCTTGACTAATGGTTGACATTTTCTCCTGGTCAATCGCAGATTTCTCTCTCATGTTTTGAACAGTGACAGGAATCCTAAGAAAATGTATTTAATGACCAAAAAGATAGCTTAAACCACCAAAACAACTCAACAGCTACCCTATACTTAAAATTAAGATCAAGGCATACTTTTAATACTCTAAATTTATAGTATACTCCTTCAATCCTTAATATAAGACCCATTTAACTAATTTGATTATATTAAGGAAGTTAAGTAAGTTAGTTAATTATAAGAAATATGACACGTTTTTTCTAAAATACCATAACCATCTTTCTTAATACCCCTCTCCCTCTTCTACTTGATTATGGTTGATTGAGTATCCATATGGGTAATTTAGAGAAAATTGATAAATATGAGAAATGGATTTTATATTTATGATCAAAATTAACTCAACAATCAGGTCCTATATCAAGGACAGGAGGAGTACTAAGTTTAATTTGGTTTCTTCACTATAAAAAAATGATTTTAGAAGTTTAATTTGGTTTCTTAACTATAAAAAAAATAGTTTTAATCCTTTAATCCTAAACTCATTAACAAAATACATACTTCTACACCTCTTAATGTAAGAACTATTTCACTAATTTGATTAGATTAAGAAAGTTAGGTAAGTTTGTTAATTATTAAAAATATGACATGTTTTTCTAAAATACTATAATCTTATTCCTTAATATCTTACCCCATTTCCTACTTGATTATGTTTGAGTGCGTTTCAATATGAGTAATTTAGAAAAAATTAATAAATATGATAACTAGGTCTTGTATTTATGACCAAAATCAATTTAATAATTAGGTCTTATATTAAGAATAATAGAGTATTATATATTGAGATATTGAATGTTAATAAAATATACTTAAATATAAGCATATTAAGTTAATTTTAAAACAACCATGATTGTCATAAAAATATCATTTAAGAGTATGCTTTAAAATTAAGGAACCAAATCAAAGGCTTGTATAAAATTGAATGACCAAACGTATGTTTTTTGCCTAAAATTAAAAAGAGTATGTCACTCGTGACTCTTAAAAAAAAAAATAGATTGGTATAAGTTTAATAAGAAAAAGTAGCATCCAATCCAACACGCCTTGATATTATTTCTCAGCAATATCTAACAAGCTAATCTTATATATGGTGCATTTAACACTCTGATATTAATTTTCTGATGTTTTTAACATCCTAATTTTATTTATATATATATATTTAGTAGATTTCAATAAAAATTTTATAAATTAACTGCAAAAGGGAGGAAAAAGCGTAAAAGGAAATTATAGAGTACGTGTTTCTGTTTATACCATTGGATATTGGATGGATGGATTGAGCCTCAAAATTTTTTTGCTGACATGGGCCTCAATGTAGCAAAACTATCGCTCGCCCAGGCCTAGTCTAGTGAACCCGTAGGGAAATGTGGTGAATCCGAACCGACCCTCCAAATATCGCCCCATAGCCGAGGTCCAAAAACTCAAGATTACATTCCGTACGAACTGCGAGCCTGAGGAGATCGCCGGGACACTGGGAACCGAGCCACAGTTCTGCGCCGTTAACTGTCGCGTTTAGCAGTGCAAGTCAAGACTCCATTCTCTAGGTGCCACTTCCCGCGTAAATATTCGCAGGAATCTCCCGGAAAATTTATTGCGGTAAATTCCACTATACTTCACTATGTGGATCGCTTGCGGAAAAAATTTCCCCCTTTTTGTAATTAGGGCTTTAGGATGGATTCGGTTAGTGTAGGTGTTTAAATAATCTGAAGGATTATATTTTTGGTAATGTAATAGTTTTGATTTCGAATTATTGATAATTTCGAATTATTGATGCTATCCTATTATGGATTGATGAACTGCAACTTGCCGTTCCTCTGGATTTGCAGGAAGATCGGCTTGGGATTCGATGGGTATTAAGCAGGTGAGCTGATGTCACTGTTCTGGATTGTGATTCGTCAGCTTGCAGAATCTGAGGCAATGGTATTTCATTTTCCCCCTTAATTTACTTATATCATCAGTCCATGCTTAATTTATTTATATATGACCTCATTGAAGATATTGGCATAGTTCCACAAAATTCCACCGTCAGGTCGAATATCTGTACATGATGCTAATGCCTAATAGCTATATTTTATAAATAATTTTATAAAGATTGGTTAGACTTTAGACTTCATCTTTTCGCCCCAAAGAAAGACTTTAGACTTCATCTATTTTTAATGCGTGCGTCAATTTCTCCTGCGAGATGAAAGTTACCTTAAATAAATTGACTTTGTCTTTGCTTGTTACTGTAAAAGGATAGAACGGAGGATGATGTTCTTTTTGGAGTTGCATTTAGTGTTCCTGCTGAAGTATGATCCATTTAACTTAATTGCCGACTGCTGACAGGCATATTGCATGAAACTTCCATTGAGGCAACAATTTGATGGATAATATTGTGCTTTTTAATAAGAAAAAACTTATTATGTGCAGGCTACATCGAAGAAGGTGATAACAAGAGAAGAGTGGGAGAAGAAACTCAATGACGTGAAAATTAGGAAAGAAGACATGAATAAATTGGTGATGAATTTTCTGGTCACGGAGGGTTATGTTGAAGCTGCCGAAAAATTCCGAATGGAGTCTGGAACTGAACGTATCCTCAAATAATTGATTATCTTCTTCATGCTCATTCAATTTCTTATTTTGTTCACTAGAAGCCATGCTGTCTCTAATATTCTGCTGTCATTCTCCTTATAGATATTAGCAGATATAGATCTTACAACCATTACTGATCGCATGGCTGTTAAGAAGGCTGTGCAAAGTGGTAATGTGGAAGATGCTATTGAGAAAGTAAATGACTTGAATCCAGAGGTAAGCTGCCATTTTTTTATGGCTCATGCAGCTGCCAGTATTCTCTTTTTCGGTTTTGGTTGACTCCATCTGTGTGTGGGGTGTGTGTGTGTGTGTGTGTGTGTGTTGTATTAACTTTTCTTTCTTGATGTCCTTTATCTTGAACTAAAAATGATTTCTTTGAATATACTGCTCTGAAATTTTACGTTGGGGGTTTCAACAAGCTGTATAGCAGTATGGTTATTAACGTGAGCGGCGGGCATGGATTATCTTCTGTAATTCGCACATATTTACAGAGCCATAGCTGTTGTTTATATGCAACCAAAGTTTCTAGTAAGAGTTTAACTTGCTGTATTTGTTTCTTGCTGATAAACAGTTTTATATTTTCAAGTGTTTCTCATTTTCTTTAAAAAAATAAAATAAAATTGGGTGGGGCATCTTATAAAAGGACATTTTATTTTCATCATAGCATCGATTCAGCAGTATTCTACTCATAATGGTCTTGCGCATCTTTTCGTGTTCTTGACATTTTTTCTAAAGCTGATTCTGGATATTGTAATTCTGTGCAGATACTGGATACAAACCCCCAATTGTTTTTCCATCTCCAACAGCAACGACTGATAGAACTAATCAGGAATGGAAAAGTAGAGGAAGCTTTAGAATTTGCCCAGGAGGAACTTGCACCAAGAGGGGAGGAGAATGTAAATTTCATTCGTTCACTTTTTGTTTGGTTTCATTCATTGAACACTGACTTTTTTTTGCACTGATAATTTACTCTGTTTGCCGATTGAAAATAGTGATAAATGCCATATATTTTTATCATCATGGAATATTCTGTTTCATGTTCCCGTTTGATGATCTTGATGCTTATACTTGCCCAACGTTTTTACTCTTATCAGCAAAGCTTTTTGGAAGAGTTAGAGAGGACTGTTGCTCTCCTTGCCTTTGAAGATGTCTCAAACTGTCCTGTTGGAGAGCTTCTTGACGTATCTCAACGTCTAAAGACAGCAAGTGAGGTGAATGCGGCCATACTTACTAGCCAGAGTCATGAAAAAGGTTTGTGTTCACTGCAGTAATCTGTTTTGGACCATAAGATTGGCTTGGTAATGTAACTTTGATCCAATTTCCAGTTTTGCAAATTTTGGTTACCCGACAATTGCTTCTATGTGTTTTTTTACCATTTGCTTCTGTGTTTACCGAGTTTCACAAACCTAAATTCTAAGGGAATATGGAGATAATTACTTAGGGTCCGTTTGGCAAGGAGACCAATTTAAATGAATGTGATGGTATGGCCATCATCTAATTTTGTTTGGTAAATCATGTAAACCAATTTTTTGATTTTGATTTTTAAATTAAACAAAAATAATATCAAAAATATCAAAACCCCCCTCAATGGGTGGTGGTGATGAAGGGCAGCGGCCAGTGGAGGGAAAGAGCCTTTTGACCAGGATTACATTGATGTTATCATCTTTTATCCCAATTTTGGGTAAAAAGGATTACAAGAGTTGATTAATCAAGCTTTACAACGTACTGTAAACTGCTATCACATGAAAACACAACCGACGTACCAAGCTTTTATATTGCATTATTTCTTGATGCATTTGACCAAGCTGGCCTCTAGGTGTTTATCATTCATTCATGATAACTTGGTTTTCCTCCTCATTTCGGATATCAGATAATGTGGGTTTAGGATACTTGGAGATAAGATTTGGCTATAATTGTTAGCAATGGATCGTGTATTACTAATTCTTAAATAATTTACAATTGGCATCCACTTTTACATGAAGAATCTGACTAAATCGCAGCTAGCAGTGAGATGTAATTTGATTTTATCAATGATCAATTTGTTTGCACATTGCACATGATGCCATTTGAATCGTGGTTTACATCCCTCACGCAAGGGTAATGGTGCAAACGTAAGGAGATGTCTATTTATGATGATGGTGGATAACAAACAAACGTAAAGGTGAAATATTGGACTAAAACACATTATGTGTTTACTTATACTTCGGTGGTCAATTTTGCCGTTATAACTAGTGTGCACTTTTCCAATTGGGCTCTCTTAACTGAAGTTTGCTGCAGTTTGTATTTTTTATTGTGTTTTGCTGAAGAGGGATTGTTTTTCTGGCGTTACACGGAATCAACTGCCTGTGCTATTTTTTATTCTTTTGGGGAGAACCTTTTCCAAATGTTGTAAAATTTGTTTGATTTGTGACATTAGATCCTAAACTCCCAAGCTTGTTGAAGATGCTGATATGGGCTCAAAACCAGCTGGATGAGAAAGCTGCATATCCTCGCATAAAGGATTTATCCACGGCTACGTTAGAAGACCCTGCAGTTTGAACGCTGAAGACCTGGCAATCGCTGTCTGGAGCATCTAGGGTTCTAGATGGAAATGGTGAGGTCGTTGGCTTGAAAAATGATGTATGTACTTTTATTCAAAGATGGTTCTGCAAAAAATTGGTGTCTGTTTTCTCATAGATAGCTGTTTCAGTGGGTTTATATCCTTGTACAAAAGATTGCCCAATTGCCCATACATTGATTAATTCTTTCTTTCAAGTCAGCGATCCATGAGGAATTCTGTCGCATGTTAATATCTATCCTGCTGAAAGTTGCCTGAAGCTGATGCCTACGTTCTTTCTTTGCATTTTTTGGGTGATGGGTGTTTCGTTCATGATCTTATGATTGTTAAAAGTAAAATACAAGTGTTTGGATAAAATTTTAGGAAATTATGATTTTGACCTTCAAAATTGACTTTTATGAGGATCCAAGCCCACCCTGAATTGGTGGTAAGCGCTAAATTAAAAAAAAAAATCTGTTTATTGAAATATTAATATTAATTGCTCATGTTTACTTGTGATTTTTAAATCAATAAACGTGAAGGATGGGGAACTTTTTTTTTTTTTACCAAAGAAGGATGGGGATTAAAAGAATAAAATTTCATGCACATTTTTATATTTATATGAAGTTTTCTTCTGCGCTACTGATGGCACGTTTAGTTTAATTTCAACTATGATGCCTTTGGCGGATTCAATATAATCATGATTGCAATAAATCAGGTAATTCTTCAAACCTTTATGGATCAATATCTAAATATGTGTACCCTTTATAAATTGATATTTGAATTATACCCTTCATTTCCAGCCTTCATATGGTAAAAATATCATTTGAGAATTATTTTTATTTTATCTAAATAAAATAGAAATTTCATTCCATAACTTCTTAATAGAATATCAAACAAATACTTAATGATTATTTCAATACATTATCAAACGGCATTTCAGCAGAATACCGAAATTCATTAATAGTGAAGCAACTTACAACCAAAAGATTTAGGGTCAGTTTAGAATAGCTTATAAGTAGTTTTTAATCGTGATTTATAGAATACAAGATAAATATGTGAAAAAAGTTTTATCTCAATTTATATAAAATGTGCTTATAAGTGATCTTTATCGTTATCTCAAACAGGCCCATTAGACTCCTTTGTCAAAATCCACCTCAGTTATTCTTGGTGGAGGTTGACACCTTCCATTTTATGGGAGGTTTCGACCAAGCTTCAAGTTCAACTATCTTCACAAGTTAAGGCCTGAGGGTATTTTTGAGGGGGAAAAAAAGAGTTTAGTTACGCTGTATATGTATTGAAACTTATATTTAAAGACAAACAAGATTTTGAAATTAATGGTGTGTTTGAAAACCCCATGAACAATTAAAATAAAAGGTGTTTTCAAATAAATTGGGACAAAATGTCTCTATAATCTATTTTATAAGTTTTAATTAGGGATTTATCTAAATATTTAATATACTTTTTTTATTTTTATTCTTCATTATTTATTCTCTTTTTCTTTTGCCCTACCTCTTATCACATTTTTTAAACTTTTTTTTATTTTTCTCATATATTATATGGGCATATTTAAAAGTAAAATTATATTTCTAACATATTTATTACTTTTAATTAATTTTAACTACTTATTCATATTTGTAAATTAGTTATTTAAAAGTTATAATAAGAATAAAAAGAAGTATATTTATTTTATGACCCCATAAAATTATTTTTAAAAAATAACATTTATATTTAATGTTAATAGCGTCCAACCTGGCATGGTCAAACGAGCCCGTGAAGAAAGAAGCAGAATCAAAATCAAATTCCAAATGCTACCTGGGAGTCCAAGTCACGAATCATATTGAAGTAAAGAGATCTCCGGAACCTCGTTCTCCAAAATCTACCTTGTTCCTGCTACTCTCACTCTTTGTCAAATCACCTTTTTCCAAGTATTACTTCCTGGAAAAATAATAACAAGAGTCTCCCGCTAAACATTCCACGGTAAATTCAACTGTCTTTTCACTTCTTGGATCGCTTGCTGATTTTTACCCCTTTTGTAATTGTAACTAGGGTGTTCCGTGTGGTTGGTGAGTCTATCTGTTTGATTAATAAGAAGGACGCAATTTTCGAAATGTAATGGTTTTAAATTTCGAATAATTTGATGCGGTCATATTATAGATTTGCGAACTGTAACTTGCTGTTCTTTTGGACTTGTCGGGAGATAGGTTTGAGATTCGATGAGTCTTAAGCAGGTGCGCTGATGTCACCGCCGGTTCTGTTTCGTCGGCTTGCAACATCCAAGGCAATGGTACCCCCCCCCCCCCCAAAAAAAAAAGTGTTTGCATCAGAATTTACTGTTTCAATTAAACGGGGCTGACAGCATTTTAATATGCGTGCGCTCTGGATTTGGCATGGGAGAATTCCGTGATCATGTCGAATAACTGCAAATGATCTTGTGTGCTTGTCGCATTCTTTACACAATTTCAGAAAGATAGTTTACACTTCATCTGCTTTGTATGTCGGTTTCTCCTACAAATTGAAAGTCGCCTTAGATAAATTGAAGAGATACATTTATAGATGTGCTGATGACTGTTTTGATACTTCCCTTGCTTGTTACTATCTTAGACAACAAAATGACAGAGGGAAGAATGCTGTTCCTTGTGGAGTCAATTCCTGTCTTCCTGCTGTTGCATCTAGAGTAATTGTCTGCAAGCATACTGCATGAAACCGGGCTAGAGTTAACAATTTGATGTCATACTAATGTGCTTTCAAAAAAGAATACAAAAAAAATAAACTAATTTATGCACAGGCTACTTCAAAGAAAGTGATGACAAGAGAAGAGTGGGAGAAGAAACTTAATGACGTGAAGATCAGGAAAGAAGACATGAATAAATTGGTGATGAATTTCCTCGTCACGGAGGGCTATGTTGAAGCTGCTGAGAAATTCCGATTGGAGTCTGGAACTGAACGTATCCTTGAATAAATGTATTTTCTCATCCTCAGTCAACTTCTTAATTTATTCCCTTTAAACTATGCTGTCTCCAATATCCTTCTGCCATTCTCCTTATAGATATTTAGCAGATATAGATCTTGCAACCATTACTGATCGCATGGCCGTTAAGAAGGCTGTGCAAAGTGGTAATGTGGAGGACGCAATTGAGAAAGTAAATGACTTGAATCCAGAGGTAGGCTGCCATTTCCTCATGGACCATGCAGCCCCTTGTACTCTCTTCATGTTTTCTGGTGATTTTGTATGTGTCTGTGACTGTGAGTGACTAAGTGAGCGACTCTGTATGTGTTACTGAAGCAGAGAGAGGGAGAAGGAGGGAGGTCGAATGAAGGAAAATCAAGTTTAAGGAAACAATTTGTTTTCGATATATTTGTTATTTCTGTAAATACCCTTTTTCTGAAGTAAAAAATTATTCCCTTTGACGTAATGCTTCAAACTATTTATGTTACGGGGTAAATTACTTGTCCTCAACCATATTATGCAAGCAGGCATTTATTTCTGAGCGTAAACAGTGGCGTAAATGCTTGAACATAGCATTAACTTCTTAAAGATAATAAGCTGGTCTTGAAGGAAGAGTAACGATTAACTGATATGGCAATACTTCAGGACAATTTTATTACTGTGGAAGTGAAGAAGCCAGATAAAAAATTTTGAGGGCTTATCCTTTGGATGTTTCTAAGGTTTCATCAAGTTGCAGAGCAACATAAGGGGCTTGCAAGGGATTCCTTGTATGGTTTCATGCATCTTGGCAGAGCTGTAGTGCTTGTTCTTGTTCCGCTTTAATTTCTAACTGAGTTTAACTAACTGTTTTTCAGTTTTGATTTGCCATTTTTGCTTTTCTTTCTGAGAAATGGTCTTTTATCTTCTTTTAATCTTTTCTCTTCCTCTTTAAAATCACGGGGACTATAGTATAAAAGGACACTTTTGCACTCGCAAAGAGTAAACACGTGCATTCATCAGTACTGTTATCAAAATGGTTTTATGCCCCTTTGCATGTTATTATTAACTGTCCTTAAGCTGAATATGCATTTTCTAATTCTGTGCAGATACTGGATACGAATCCCCAATTGTTTTTCCACCTGCAACAGCAAAGGCTGATAGAACTGATTAGGAATGGAAAAGTTGAAGAGGCTTTAGAGTTTGCTCAAGAGGAGCTTGCACCAAGGGGGGAGGAGAATGTAATTGGCATCTATTATATTTTTTTGGTTTCTTTTGTTCGATCAGTGGTTCCTAGTTCTATGAATAAAATAGCTTATATCTTTGGATTTTTTCAACTTCAGCTAAATTGTAATTTTTCTCAAAAAATGATAAAGAATTGTTTGGCACTAAAAACCTGGACTGGCCCTGTTAAAACCCTAGGGTCAAATGGGGCCGGGCCAGAATAAGCCTATTTTGAAATGATACGTGATTTATTGCCTGGCCCTATTTATCTTTTAGGGGTGAATGGACCAGCCTTAAAAGATTACTAGCTTTTTTGACAGCTTTAGATTTTTGCACTGTTTATTTACTTTGTTTGCCTGATATTTGGAAACATGTCTAACTGCATCAAATATTTTTTCGGGGGGTAAATTCTGTACAATGAATTGCGTAGACTTGATGTACTTGCCTGCAATTCTGATTCCTGATTTCCTGTCAGCAAAGCTTTTTGGAAGAGTTGGAGAGGACTGTTGCACTTTTTGCCTTCGAAGACGTCTCTAACTGCCCTGTTGGAGAGCTTCTTGACATATCACAGCGTCTGAAGAGAGCTAGTGAGGTGAATGCGGCCATACTTACGAGCCAGAGTCATGAAAAAGGTTTGCTTTTAGATCTAATGTCTAGATTCACACATTTTGTTTGCCATACACCTTGTCTATGTTAAATTTATCACCTACCAAACTGTAAATCTAGATTTAGTTAGCTAGTGGGCTATATGTTAAATATGGGAAGATGATTGACCTACGTCAGATTTTCCCAAGCAATCTAAATTTAGTCAACGCGTGTTTGTTTACAGTAAATCTATGATGATTGAGTTTCTGTAAGATGGATTTAAATTCAGAGTTTATAAGCGATTACAACAAATGTAAAGGTAAAATAATGCGTTCAAATACTGTATATGTACGTGCGGTTGGTTGGTTGATTCTGGATCACTGAAACTTAAGTAGTGCTTTCCTATCGGGCTATCTGTAAGGTTTTGCACGAGCACGAGTTTGCATATTGACTATATTCTACGAAAGATGGATTGCTTCTCAAGTTTTGCACGAACTAAACTCAGTTTGCCTAATTTTGTGTTATTAACTTGGGAACAATTTCCGGAATCTACTAACATTTTTTTGATTTGGTTACATCAGATCCTAAACTTCCAAGCTTGCTGAAGATGCTAATATGGGCTCAAAACCAGCTGGATGAGAAAGCTGCTTATCCTCGCATAAAGGATCTATCCACCGCCACCTTAGAAGACCCTGCTGTTTGAAGCATTTGGGCTTTTAGGGGAAAATTGTTAGGTGATCGACGGGGAAAAAGCAATGTCTGTACTTTAATCCAAACGTGGTCCTACTAAAATGGGGTGTCCTGTTTCTCCTAGATGGCTGACTCAGTGGTGTTAAATGTTATACGGTTGTACAAAAGATTGTGAATACATTAAATTGATTCTTTCCTTGAAGTTGCCGATAGTTGAGGATTTCCGTTGCGTATTAATGTCTCTCTGAGGAGCCCTAATAAATGAAGCCCTTGAGCTGATTCCAACCGTTTCATCTAATTGTCATCAGCCAAACCAAGTCACATCATACAGTAGTACTACATTGGTAGGTTAACTCAGTTCATGTACATAAGCAAGTTGGTTAAGACAAACAAATCAGCATATCATACATATTTATTATGTTCGTTAGCCTCATTAATGAAATTGCTTTTATTTCCCCGGTAAAAAGATGAACCAACATTGTTAGTACCGCCCTGATACTGGAATACAATAACCCAAGCAATTTATTCTGCATCTTTACACGGTGATTTTTAGTCCACTGAAAGCTGTTGAGAATTGTCAAAACTCGGGTTTCAATAATAGAGTGATCCAACAAAAAGCTAAAAAGACCCTTGTACTCAAAATGAAAAAGAAGGCAATGGAGAAGTACTTGAGAGGCAAAAACAGACTCAGAACAAAATGCTTGAATGATCATGAAGTCCTATCGTTCTTTTTGGTGGCAAGGTGGGGAAAATACACAGTGGGGAAGCAGTAAACAGAAAGTTAAAGAAGAAAAAGGAAAAAAGATGATGGGCTTTTACAGCTTTAATGCCCTAAAATTTGTCCCAGACGACATAAACCCAGGTCGTGTTGTTGGCATCAGTGTACAATCCCAGAACTCGCGCGTCTCTGAGCATCTTCATCTTCTTGGTTCCATCTTCAAAATTGTTACTCAAACAACCATCATCGAAGTTAAGAGCATAACTGGAAGGATCATACTGAAACCTGAGCTGTTTCTTGTGGGAAGCCCCATCTTTGAGAGCCTTCTTGAGCTTAGCTATCAGTCTGCAGAACAGACTCTTGCATCGCTTCTTGTCGAAGTAATTCGGCCATTCCAAGGTTCCCAGGAAACCCATTTTTTGCAGAATGGTGAGAGAATTGGAGATTACGAGAATTTGAAGAAGAAGAAAGGTGCGAAGTGAAGTGTAGGAGAAAAAGGTGGGGGTTTTCAAAGAAGACCCGCAGACATGGCTGCAATGTCTACTTTTTTGATCTGTGGAGCCACATTGGGATGCTAAAATTCCATGGGCAGAAGAAGATGGTGGGGGCTGTGGCCGCTCAGAGAGAGAGAGAGAGAGAGAGAGAGAGAGAGAGTAACGGATTTGTGTGTTTTTTACGCCTTCTTAAATGAACCCTCACTCACCCAAATTCTCTCCTCTAATCTCTCTCCGTTAGTTCCCATTTCTCTAACTTATTCCCTTTCTCTCTGCATAACATAATAAATAAATAAATAAAATTAATTTTTATAGTCAACTATATTTTCTTTTTGTTGAATACAAATAATAAATGTTGTTGAGTAACTTTAATGGGAATATATTTAAAAAAATATATCAACATTTATGGAATTCCACTTTTCACGCATTAAAAGGATGGATCATGTTGTTTTTCAACTGAACCTGAGTTCCATTCCGGTTCAGATAGAAAGGGGTAATTACTTCCTTTGGGAACTATTTCTACATTTGAGCCTGTTGTAAAATATTCTATTATATTCGCATATGCTTCGCAAAATTATCATTTTCTTTTCCAGAAAAAAATAAAATAAAATCAATTCTTGGTAATATGTATATGTAGATATGTGCAAAACCCCAACATTATTAAAAGTTGATGAGTAGGAATTATTTTTCTTATTGCTAAGTTTGTAGCTCTTATTTTGAAATATAAGGCACTGTCTCATCTACATTGAATTTTTATAGGCATGATATTTGAAATATGATATCTAAGAAGGAGTTGGACTAGTATCTGTTGACAAAAAATAGTAGAAAAATATTAAGGAGAATACTCAATGAATCTACTGAATTGGACTTTTTGACAAACAATTTATCAGAAGGTTTTGCCTATGATAAAGTGTAATGGTGTTGTATAATTCATGTAACCAATCTCATTTAGTATGATAAGGCTTGTTATTATTGTATACTAATATTGGTTTTTTATTTTTAAAAATAAAACATAAAACCTAATACTTTTTTGGATCTTAATATAAGACCTAATTAGGAAGTTGATATTGGTATTATATACAAAACTTACTTTACATATTTATCAATTTTTTCACACATTAACGTTATTGATATTTTCCCAACAATCTATTTAAATTAATTAACTAGATCTTATATTAAGGATCGGAGTAGGATAATTTTTTATAATTTATTCTTTTTGTTTATACATGTGATTAGGTTATTCAGAGCACGTCCTTGTTTGCAATAAAAGAGGCAAATTAAAGCGACTGAGCCTAAACCATGAGGCATACCCAGTTTAAACAAAGGACACAATCCTCTTTCCTCATTAGCAGAGAGAGAGTGAATCAAAAGAATAAAAAGAATGAGATACAAATGAGAGAAAGGTCCAAAACCCTGCAGAAAAAGAAAGGGAAGCGAAACAGTTAATGATGGATGATGATACCATGATCAATCAAATCACAAGGTTTTCCCCTTTTTACTCCAACCTCTTGTTGTACTGCACAGCCCAAACCAGAACGCCATATTGGTTCAAGTATTCTTTTCCTCTTTCCCTTCTACCTTCACCTTGTGCTCTTCTGTTCTCTTCTGATACATACATATATATCAGTGAAACTAATTTTCTCTCTCTCAACCTTTTTATCTTTTTTAATTTGTTTGCCGTGTGTTCATGTCAAGAAGGCTTTTTGACTTTAGCTCTTCCTACATATACCTACGCATATATATATATATATATATATATATATATATATTCTGAATTCTGAATAATTCTGGCAATGCACTTTTGTCTCATTCATGGAGCTCGTATTCTCGTGTTCCAGCTTTGCTTTGCTTATCTGCTTCTCCCTCCTCTCGTATGTGACTTGTCATTCTTCTCAGAATCCAACGCCTTATCTGCTGCCTCTGTTCTGTCGTACTCATGTGTCTAATTTCAGTAGTGCATAGATTTTTATGTGTGTTTGCCTCTTTGACGGGGTCTCACACACACACACACGAATAGTATCAATTTATGATTAGATGAATTTCATTTAGACTAGTATGGCATGTTTGACGCAAGGTTTAAACAAGTCGGTTCTTGTTTGGCTTAACATCGGCAGAAATGACTTTTATATCCAAACTGATTTCTGAATTGAGGTTGGAGTAAAAGTGATTAATGTACATAAGCTTACTCAAAAACCATGTCAGATATCTTTTTTTTTCCCCCTCCAACTGAATTCTGAGACTTCTATGTTTGGATTATTTTTCCACTCAACCACGTTTGGTACTATAAGCTAAGCAATTTGGATCAGTTTTTGGCCAGCCTTACTTACGCAGCCAGCTGATTTTTGAAGCAAGTCTTGTTTTGTCTTGTGGTTCATGTTGTGTCATTGTTATGATTGAGATTATATTCTGACCACATGCTAATGAATGAAAGAATGAGTTGGAAGGCGGTGGGGGCAAGTAGTAAAAACAGTAAGCGGAAGCAGAGATGAAGGGAGAGTCATAATTCTGCCGTGCATCGATCAAGGCCACATCACTATCACTCATAGCTGCACTTTCTACGGCTTTATATATATATATTTGTTTGTAGTTTGATAGTGGTTGGTCATTGTGTGAGGTGTGGCCTGCTCTGAGAAGGGTAACCCCACAATCACTCACCATTCATTGGCGTCTTCTTCTTCTTCATCTTCTTAGTTCGTCTCTCTGGTTGGTGCATGCATATACCCCTTAGCTTCAATTCATTTTTGAATTCCCAATTGATCTGCCCTGTTGTTTTCACTTATCTCCCCACATTCTCTTTGTTCTTTTCTCCTTCTTCTTCCCACCAGCTAGCTTGGGACCAACTTCCCTAAATGCTGTATTTACATTTCTTCAGTATCATTCTCATTCTTCCTATCAGTATTTGTAAGACCAGTTTGTTAATATCCTCTCAGCACTCTTCTGCTCTATTCTAGTAGGCAAAAACCAAAAAGTACTCTTTCCTTTTTCTTTTTTGCCAATAGACTTGGAACTTAGTGCTATGAAAATTCCCTTAATTATATTCCACCTATACTCTCCAGTCCTTATTTGAAAAAAAAAACTCTACTCACTCACGGTGAAGCTGAAATTTAAGAAAGGAGGGAGGCTGAGATTAAAAACACGTGATAGAAAATTTGTATAAACTTTGAATAAAAGAGAAAATACAAGATAGTAATTAATTATATAATATGAAGAAAAGATTAAAAACTGGAGGGGGTGATGGCAGACTCTATTCTTAATCAAATCATGGAACCTGGACCCCCCCCCCAAAAAAAAGGTAATGCTCCCTTTAATAACATGTCTTGCTCCAAATGACTTTCATGATTTCATCCTTACCAAGTGTGGTTGCTTCCTTTACTGGAAAATTTACTAGTCAGGACCATAACATTAAATCCTTCATTTTTAAAATAAATAAAGGACCTTATATTTCACACGCATTTAAAAAACTTGGTGTGGTACAAATATAATCAATGTCGTCCTCTCATATATATATATATATATATATATATGTATGTATATATATTGCACCACGTAAAGTAATTTGAAATCTTTTGGAACCTTCTTGTTGGTTGAATTGCCTCTTAAGGCCTGACAAATAGGTTTTGGAATGCAACCACTTGCTTTCGCTCAGTCCAGATGGTCCACATGGCGGTTGGACCATGGGCTTCTAATTGCACACCTTTAACCCAAAAATCTCACTGCTCTCTCGTCACCAACTCCCTACTTGCCAAACCAACAGGAATTAGGCCAGTGAAAGTGACTAGTCTTTACAACATGATGAATTAAAGTTTAAATTTTTACTGTGAGAAGTGCTTACATTTAATACCTAATAGTGTCTCGAATAGGATTGTCTTCAATAAGAGGATACTTATGCTTTAACAAAAAAAAAAACTCCCTACTCGCTACTCTACTTGGTTTTGACAACATTAGTCTGGCAAATAACAACAAATTATTTTAAAATTTTCTTATTTAACATTTAATGATTTTAAATTTTTTCTTGTGAGAGTCTCTCTTTATATTAAGAATCAGAGTTAGTATGAATAAAGCATCCATAGTACTATGGGCCAATTTTTTGTGGCACAACCACAGTATAAACTATTACTGGCTACTCTCTTCCATCTTAAATATAAAAGGTAGATAATTATTAATTAATTTATACAAAAATATTTTAAAAATTAATTGATTTGGCTATTTAAAAAAAATGTATGTTAGTTTTCATAATATCTAAAAATTACTCATATTAGTTGAATTATTGGTGTGTGCAATCAATAGAAATCGTTGGGGGAAAAAAACATAGATTAAGACATTACATTTAGGATAAAATAGCCGAAGGAGTATTTCATATTTGAGCATTGTAGTTAAGGTTGGTTCTGGTGAATGTATCTCTTTTAATTAGGACAACTATTACTGGCAATTATTAATTCAGATTTGAGCACGTTAATCCCAAATAGGGCATCTCTCACTAACATTATTTTTTCAATATACCGGATTTTTTTGTCATTTGTCAGAATCAAACATGATCTTCAATAAGGAAAAATTTAAGTACTTCTTTCACATTACTAATTATGTACTACGTGAATGGAAGGCCTGCGTGCTTGCAGCTTACTTTGCATGTATGGTACTACCTCCGGTATTATTTAATATATAAGAGTTAGATAATTAATTAATAAATATTAAAAAAATTAGTTAAATTATTTATTTATAATAAATTGGTGTTATCCTTCTTATTAATCATGTACGTTAGAATTACTATTTGAGATAAAGCTTTTAACATGTGCAATTATGGGGATTATTTTAAGAAAAAAATAAATAAATATAGGAAACAAAATGAATCAAAATCTTATATTTACGATCAAATTGAATTCTCAAGTAACTTTTATAGTAAGGATCGGATATAACATTAATAGTATAGGGAAAAGACTAAAGCATGTGAGTAAAATACTCATTTTCCTAAAATCAGATCAAAATTTGTTTGAGATTGCAAAAAGATTGCAGCATAGGACAAAGACTAATTAAAGCATGTGATTAATAAAATAAAAGGGATTAATTAATATGTTAATACTTCTTGGGTAAGCAAAACCTACACATGCTTAGAGCC